CAACGTAACGCATATCGTATCATATCAATTGATTTATTTACTCTCTTTAAAGTCTATGTATTAGCCCATGTATACTTTTGAGAACTTAAGGTATGTGAGTACATTGAGGTTGTGCACCACTATGTTGTCACCACAGCTCGTATAAATGTCCCGAAGAACCTTTCCAAAGGTCATATAAAACCTTGACAACTGTCCATAGGTCCCGAAGAACCTAGGTAAACTGTCCATATGTTCCTTAGAACATAGGTATACTGTCCATATATCCCGAAAGACATAGGTAAACCCTCGACTCTTGGCATGTCAACTATACCACTAGCTCTCATATCACATAACACGGGCATTATCATTTATGCATTTCATATCACTTGTTCTTTCTTTTCTGTCACATACCACAGTATGTGTAACCATATATCTTATATCATATGACTTTCTCGTATATTCTCATATTTCATTATCACATATTCATTTCATTCTCTATGTCCTTATCACATAGCTTATTTCTCATTCATATGTCACATAACTCGTATCACTTTGTATGGTTTCACATAAACATATATATATATATATATATATATATATCATATTTCGTTCACATATATTTCCCATATATACATCACATAGCACATATATCTCATAGTTCTTTCACATAGCTTACTATCATATTTTCATATCATATGTCTTATAATAGATTCTTATATTATCACTTGTTTCCTTTCTACCTATTCACAATCACACTAACATGTACTCGCACCTATCATTTAATATATACACTCATATAATCAATCATACATACATTTCATGTCATTCATATTACATAATGTAGTCATGTAAAACATGTCACATACAATAACATTTTAAGAGTTATTTATTACCATAATAACTTCATCACTGGCTCATCGCAAGCCAATGTTCGTTCTATAAGCACAAATTAAATTGCACTCACCTTAACCTTGCTTGTTTTGATTCAATCCTAACTCTTCGATTGTTCCGTAACTCGTTTAGGCTCGATATCTACATAAATATAATTTTCGAGATGATTATTAAAAGCCTAAACCTTATAACTTTATGTCAATAACTCAAGCTAGTTTAATGAACCAAAATTTCATTTTTCCTTTAGGGGTGTATCGATGCACTATGGGTGCATCGGTACACAAAATAACTTCAAACTCCCATGCATCGATGCACCCCTTAATGCATCGATGCACATTCAAAAATTATCTTAGTGCATCGGTACATACTCATAGTGTATCGATGCATCTGTCCAAAATAGCCCGAAATTCATCAATATTTCACCCAATTTTCATGTATAAAATCCTTATCATGCTACTAAACTCATCTATAACAACTTTAACTAATTTCTATCATTCCAACACTTTATAATCTCCCATTTTTCATCCAAATTCTTAAGGCTAAGAATCATACCAAATTTTCCATGTTATCCAAACTTAATTCTAACACTTTTAACTTCTTATTTTCATAGACGACAAGTCAAATTCATCCTCCAAATTCATTTAAACCTTCTTATTCAAAATTCCACCTAAAAACTCATTTTCTTTAATCTTTCATAACTTCTTCATCTTTTGATTTTAAGATAACTTAAGCTTTTCTTAAGCTTAGTTATCATCTAATGATCAAAACCCACTCTTAAAATTAACAAATAATCAACAAAATATAAAACTCACATTTGCTCTAGCTTGGGCACGTTGGAGAAGAGAAGAAGATGAAGAAGATAAGTTTGGAAACTTATCTCTTCACACATGCATCACATGGGTATTATAATACCCACTAAAATTTAGTTAATTATTTTTCTTGTTCAATAACCTATTTTCCCTTTGACTATTTCAATAATTACTAACAACCCTTTAGGAAATACTTTCAAATAAATCATTGAACTTTTCAACTTTTTCACTTTAATCACCAAATTCTGAAATTTTATAATTTGGTCACTAACCTGTAGTTTAGGATGTTACATGAAAGACTTATCAGAATGAGGATTGCGGTTGATGGGAGTTACATGATCTGTGGTGTGATGCCTGAGTCTAAGTGCCATCTGTTTTTTTTAATGTTGTTTTTCTCGAGAAGTTTGGAAAGCAATTCTTTGTTTGTGTAGGATTGATAGAGATGTAGGAAATTAGGAAGATAAGTTTAATTGGGTTGTTTCTTACCTTAAGGGTAAGTCTTTGGTTGTTTACATTCTTAAAATAGCTTGGTGTGCTTGTATATGTTTTATATGGGAAGAGAAAAACTATAAACAATTTAGGGTTATAAGTGGGAATGCTGATGATATTATTGAAAGCATTAAAAAGATTGTGAGGGTTAAAGTTTACAGGAAAATCATTAAAAGTAATGTGGTTAATCACAATCTTTGTATAGCATGGGGAATTCCGTCATCTTAGGGGATGTTTTGTACCTTGTTTTGATTGGTAGCATCATTTTTAGGTTGCTTATTGGATAGTAAGATGAATTACTTATCCAAAAAATTATGTTGATCTTTTTCATGTTTTGATTGTTGTTGTAAACATGTTTCAGTTCTCAAAGATTGAAAGAAGCTTAGATTAGTAAGAAAGTACACAATTCTTTTAACATTTCATTTGAATCATTTTGTTGCAGTCTCTCTGGTGACTTTAACTTCGATCCTCTAGGCCTCAGTAAGAACTTAATCCTCATCAACACGTCGAGTAGAATTTTTCTTAGACCATTGATGATGCATGTACACCCCTATGGAACTGCTCGGACCCAGATTATAATGATATTTTTTTCTATAACAGGATCTAACATTGAGACATTGAGATGGAACGTACAGGAGAAGTTGGTGCATTGCAGGTGGACAATGTTGGGAACCACTGGTATTTTCATCCCAGAGTTCCTAACAAAGAGCGAGATCCTAAACATTCCTTCATGGTACTCGGTAGGCAACGAGGAATACTTCATTGACATCATGACTCTCTTCATCGTCTTATATATCTTCATCGACTAGGTCGAAGGGAGAAGATGGCATGACATTCTCAAACCAGGGAGCGTAAAAACCGTCTCCTTCTTCCCCAACAACAAGCTAATTGAGACCAATGTCGGGTAACCTGGTGGCTTGTGGTTTGACCCTCTCGGGTGAGGAAGTGGTTCACCCGAGAAGATCAAGGAGTTGAGGACCAAAGAGATCGAGAACGATAATCAGCTATGTTGACCGTGATGGGTGCTTGGTTCTAACATATCTACACCGACGCAGGTCCCATTGTCAATTTATTTGGTCACCTTGTCGATCCTGGTCACGCCACCATTTTTGCGGTAAGTTTAGGCCCTTTGATGTTCCACTTGGATCTGTTTTCTTGTTTTGTTGGATTAAGATTAAGCGTTTGTTTTCTCTTATTGTATGTGTTTGTTTATGTTTGTATCAGTAGATAATTGTAATGCCTATGTTAGATGATGTACAAATTACCTTTTATGAAATTTGATGCAATGAATATTTTTTGTTAAGGTTAACCAATCTATGTAACTTCTAGTATATAATAATTTACCTATTATATTAACATATCATTCAAAATCAAATTAAAATTGTTTTAAATATTTTACCCTAGATTTTCTTAATTTTTATAAGGGAACATATATTATTATTGTCAGAATTTCTTTCAAACGTGGAGTTGGCCGAGTTGGTCTAAGGCGCCAGATTAAGGTTCTGGTCCGAAAGGATGTGGGTTCTAATCCCACACTCCATATGTTAGTTTATTAATTTGCTCCTTCCAGGAAAATTGTGATCTTAAACTCCTTTTATTTTCATAAGATTCTGATTCAGTCCCTAAAATGCTTTGCAACACAATCTGTTTCTGGTAACAGATTAGTACTACTTAACACCATGAAGGTTAACCGATTAGTACTACTTAACACTGTGAAGGTTAAACCACATTAGTAAACCACATATGTTACTACACAGTAAACACGAGTTGAGTTCGAGTATTACTAAGCTCGTGAGTTTAAAAATTTTAAATTCGACTTAAAAAATAAAATGAAGTTTGATTTGAGCTCGAAAAAAATTGAACTTAAAATATTTTCAGACTTAGCTCAATTGAAACTTAAATTCGATTTAAGCACAAACTTTAGTTGGAACCTGAACAATGAGTACATAAAAACCTTACATTGTATATAAAAACATATAGATGTTAATATTATTAATAATTTAAGTTAAACAATTAAAAATTTAACATATTATTTTTTCGAATTATTCGTGAGGTTTTTAAATCGGATATCAAGTAACTTGTTTTAACTTGTTAAGTAATTGAGTTCAAGTTCGATTCAAACTCATTTGATTGAAGTGCTTACCAAACTTTAACCATATCAAACTTAAATAACTCACAATATGTCTCATTTCATTTACCACTCTAGATGTTACAAAATAATTCCCTTTCTCCCTACGTATTGTAAAATAAATAATAATAATAACAATAACATATCAAGAGAATGTTACAAAATAAGAGTGTTCATTTGTATCTTTTATTTTCTCTGAATTATTTGATTAGATTTATTTTTAACTTTTTTATAAGATTATCTTATTTTCATTATTTGATGGTTAATTAATACACTTCCATGATTTTCAAAAAAATGATCCATTAAAATAATTACTCTGTTATATTTTATCGATATTATAATATATTATATTTATTTATTTATTGGATAAAATTAACCGTTATTATCAATTAAAATTTATTAATAATAAAGTTTTTTTAATGTAAGTTGTAAAGTAATGCGCAATGGCAACGGGCCAAAAGTATTGGCAACCTAATACATTTGTTCAGTGGGTCTGGTTTTTGTTTTGGGCCGAATCCTCATTGTGTTCATTTACATTAATTAAGTTCCAATAATAATAATAATTGTTATTTTTTATTATTAAAAAATAAAAAAATAAAAAGAAAATCCAATTTCTGTTTCAGTTGGGTCGTCTTCTACGCGAACTCAAATCTTTGTTTTTTTTCTTCCAAGTTTTAGCTGGGAGCTTAGACTTACAAGGAGACTTATACGGATATATATCTAAAACAAAACTTCTTCTTCTTTTAAAAATCCCATTAGTTTTTATACTCTTACTAGTTTCTCAATCTGAAAATTCAGAGCTAATCAAAACCCTAGAAAAAGATACAATGAGTAGCAACGAATTTCGATTCTTCTTGTCTTGCGACATCAATCTTCCCGTTACCTTTCGTGTTGACAGATTGGAAGGGACTTTGCCTTCCACGAATTCTCCCAATTCAGGTGTGAGTCCTAATTCAGTTAATATGACATACCGATATTTTTTTAAGAAGAAAAAATTTGTTAGTTTCTAAGTTATTTTTCTACCCGAAATTTTGTTCATAATTTCACTATTATGGTTAGTATAACAAATTTGGAAGTTTTATGCTGCAGCGTATTGAAATTTTTATTTTTCTTAAAGACTGGTATAATTTTTTTATTGCTTTACAGGAATTGATTCCATTAATGAGGAGAGGAAAGCAGAGCTCTATGTGGAGTGTGCATTGTACATTGATGGTGCTCCGTTTGGTCTTCCAACAAAAACAAGGTTTTTTTTATTATTATTATTATGGAAAACCAAAAGTTTCCTTTATTCAACTGTGTCTGAAGAGTTAGGGAATTGATATGCTTTTCTGCTACCAGGTTGGAGTCTGCAGGACTGTTGTATTGCTGGAATGAACTGGTAACATTGAGTAGTAAATATCGGGACTTAACCGCACACTCACAACTTGCTTTGACTGTGAGTAGGAAAAATAATGTTGCTTGCTTTCCCATTGCATTGCATGGATGTGTTCAAGTTGAATTCTGTTTTTGTGGGTTGGTAATATGAGTTTTTACTTTATTCATGAGTGTGAAAATGGAGCCAGGGAAATTTATTTTTATATTCTAACACTTACTGTCACAACTTCTTCATTTGATTATTTCTCGGCATGAGAGGCAAAACCTTAGTTGTGTCTCTTTTTGTTCAGAAGTCTTTGATGGTATCTCTCTTAGCATGATTGTCATTGATGTTAGTTGTTGTTGTTATTATCATTATTACTATTATTTCAAATGTAAGTGCATGGATTTTCTATAAGCTTTAACATTATCTGTCACCAATATATCTTAGTCTAAACACAGCCTGCAAAAAGTTAGCTTCTAGAGATGAGGTATTTAATCTTGAGATTGAGTTGGAATGCCCCTGAGGTGTTACATGGATTTGTGCTATGCTGGTGTTAGATTTTCTTTGGTATTTTTCGTACAGATTTCCTAACTCAACTGATTTATCAGTGCTCAAGATTTAGACTTATAAATTTAGTTTATTGCTTGCATGGAGATTTTAGCCTTTTTATGCGAATTTCTGAAAACAGTGGTATTATACTTTTTATAATAACCTTTCTTTTCATCCATCTTTAAAAATAATATTGCTACATTCCCTGGTTTGGCCTTTTACTGAATGCCAATCTCCTGGAATGTTAAGGTTTGGGATGTTTCATGCGGAAAAGATGATGGATTAATTGGTGGAGCTACGATTCTTCTATTCAACAACAAAATGCAACTCAAAACAGGGAAACAGAAGCTTAGGCTGTGGTTAGGAAAACAAGCAGATGGATCGTATCCAACAAGTACTCCTGGAAAGGTTCTGGTTGCTGATGCATAATGTTTCTGGTTTAGTATTTGGTTATATAGTTACACTTCTTAATGTATACGAAAATATATCTCAATATAGGTTCCCAGGCATGAGCGTGGAGAGTTGGAGCGTCTGGAAAAGCTTGCAAACAAGTATGAAAGAGGACAGATTCATCCTGTTGATTGGCTAGATCGACTCACATTCAAGGCTATGGAAAAAATCAAGGAAAGGGAAAGCCTGAAAAATGGGAGCTCTCATTTATACTTAGTTGTTGACTTCTGTAGCTTTGAACATCGAGTTGTTTTTCAGGTATGATCCTGTTCTATGATCATCATATAATTTATTTGCTACTGGCTTTTGTAGTGAATGTGAAATACCTTATGCATTTGAGAAATTGAAATTTATCTTCTTATATCCTCTCAAATGTTTAGGCATTTTGAATCTATTTGTTTGTGCGCAGTTTGTGCATTTTATTTATATAGCAAGCTCTCAATTTCATCTATTCAACCATAATATAAAGGAAACTGTATTAACCTTTCTGTAAAATTATATCTTCCTATAAGAATAGTCCCAACTTTCTTTTGTTTTGCAGGAATCAGGGGCCAATTTCTTGTTACCATCTCCAATAGCTTCATCAAATGAACTGGTCATTGTGTGGGACCCTGAAGTGGGAAAGATAAACCCTTCTGAGCACAAGCAATTGAAGCTTGCGAGGAGTTTAACTCGTGGTATCATTGACAGGGACCTCAAGCCAAGCTCTAATGAAAGAAAGTAAGTTTAAAAACATCTTGAAGCTTCTATTATCCTCCAAAATATTCAGTTCCCTGGTTGTTTCTTTCTAGCATGCATACTATCATTGAGATAGAATGTTTCATCAATTGTCTGATTCTGCATGGAAATTTATAGTTTTGTAGCAAGTGTTTGCTGAAACTTGGTTGGGCATGTGGGACCAACAACTCTTTGGAAATTGTCATGGCTGGTTTTTTTCATTCCTACAGTATGTATTCTTCTAAGATCTTCTTCAACTGAATTGTGTTTTTGTCTGTAATTGTAAGGATAATACAAAGAATTTTGAAATATCCACCTACAAGAACTTTGAGTGGAGATGAGAGGCAGCTCCTTTGGAAATTTCGCTTCTCATTGATGTCTGAGAAGAGGGCCCTCACAAAGTTTCTTCGATGTGTTGAATGGAGTGATGTTCAGGTTTGCATTTACCTTTTGTTCTTGTTTTTCTGGTGAATTCCAGCTTCTGGTCTAATGCATGGAAAACTGCTCCTTGATTATTCTTGTATCTCTCTTGTCTTAAACTTTCAGTGTCTTCTAATTCATCTTTGCGGCATCTTCTGATCTGATTATGTTATCTCATCCAAATAGGTGGCGCCATAGAGTCTACCTTGAGCCTTTTCATATTATATGAATTCTGTTTTTGATCCATTTTATCACCTTTTATTTAATACAAGAGTATCTGTGGAGTGTCATAGATTCTCCATTCTTTATTTCCATATTTTATGATTTCTGTTATTTTTATCTGATAAACCATCTAATATTTTGAAATTATAGAAAGATGTTAGGTAAGGACTGCAGAAGAAAGAAACTTGTTCCATGTGACATGATTATTCGTTAAAGGATATTTTTTCTGTAATTGGTAGGCATTAATGCACATTATGCTCAGATTTGCAGGTCTGAATGATAACCTTTTGTGGCTTTGCCGCCTTTCTCTACCTACTGTTTGTTTGTTTAATATAGATGCTGAACCAAAAATAGATAGAAACTATTCTAATTAAACAAAAATGATTATACTTTAAGAGTGAGGTTCATTTGTCTGCAGGAAGCAAAGCAGGCAATAGAACTTATGGGCAAGTGGGAGATGATTGACGTCTGCGATGCGTTGGAGCTTCTATCTCCACTTTTTGAAAGTGAAGAGGTACGTGGTAAGATTCGGCTGGTTTTTGTGGGGACATTTTTTGGAACTTCTGTTAGAATAGGTAACTGTGTAAGATGCCCTTAGAACTTAGGTTGCTTTCTTACTACTTTTTTAACATTATAATGTACCAGAGTTGGTTTTTTGCCAACTTAATTTCCTTTTAAATATTTCAAGTGAGTTTGACCTTTCTCCACAATCTACTACCTTTTCCGTATATGCTTTGCTCTTTACACATTATAAAACTGCTGCTCTCTTACTAGAATGTCTTTTTTGTTTAACATTCTCATATCAAAAAATTTAGCGCTTGCTCACACAAGGTCTGGTATCTGTCAGTTACATTTTAAGTTGGGGCAAAATGAAATTTGCACAGTCTAGTACTTGTACCAAAATCTATTACTTTATTCTTGGCTGATCCGGAAAGAGTCTAGCTGAAGTATCCTTTAACATTTTGTCTTAAGTGTAGGTTGAATTAGAAAATCTATAATATCTTTCTCCATTATTCTTACAGCATTTTGTCTGCAGTGTAGATTGAATTGGATAATCTATAACATCTTTGTTCTGAAATAATGATTGTCCGAGTATTGATCATTCTTAACAGGTTCGTGCATATGCTGTTAGTGTTCTTGAAAGAGCAGATGATGAGGAACTTCAATGTTATTTGCTTCAATTAGTTCAGGCTCTTCGATTTGAACGCACTGATAAATCTCGGCTTTCTCAATTCCTTGTACAACGCTGTATGTTGGATTATGCTTGTGTGAATGTACTGTTTGTATATGGACACAATATATGTTGCATTTTTGCAGTACAATTATTGACACTTTCCTTTTTTTTTTATTTAAAGAAATTGCTATTTCTTTTCCTTCTGTTTTTAACAAATGTCAAGACTCACCTCTCTCTCTAAATTCTCAATAATTGTCTTTGGCAGAGCTTTCTTTTCTTTCAAAACTCTACAGCTGAATGCACTCTCTCTCTCTCTCACTTAAACCTTCTTTTGCTCTGCTTTCATTCTGTAGCCCGATACTTTCTCTCCAAAGGAAATATATCCTTTGTGTTTTTTTCATTCTATTTGTAGGGAATCAGGGATAAAAGATTGGAGATAAACATTTTGATTTACCCTCTTCTTCATAGCTGAATATTTTTGGTTAGAGCGATTTATAAAAGTTACTCTATTTTATTTTCTTGACTCTTGATATTAAACGGTCCATTTACCATTTTATTCAGTAAATTAAAACTTTTGGTTAAAGTAATTAAAGTGGATTTTATCCTTTTATCAAAAATTTCAGTAACACCCTTAATCAGTTGGTAGCATCTGAAAGTATTCTTGAACTTTTGCAGCTTTACGAAATATTGAATTGGCTAGTTTTCTACGGTGGTATGTTGCTGTGGAACTTCATGATCCTGCCTATGCAAAACGATTTTATTCTACGTATGAGTTCCTAGAAGAAAATATGATAAAGGTATGAGCTCCAATTTTACATGACTGCATATCACCATCTACTTTTCTGTTTAGGAATAGAAATAGTTTGTACAATCACTGTAAGTAGTTGGTATCTAATTTGCAATTTTGGAAAGTGCAAGTTGCAGTAACATTTACCATCATTAGTTCTACTTTATGACTTCAATATTGAAGAGTTTGATTTCTTTTTCAGCAGTTTATAATCACTCATGTTGTTACAGTTGACAGCTGGTGTAAATGGACAAGAAGATGGTTTTAAAAGGTGGCAGAGCTTGGTGCGTCAGACAGAACTGACAGCCCAGTTGTGTTCTATAATGAGAGATGTGAGGAATGTGCGTGGCAATACACAAAAGAAGATTGAAAAGCTTAGACAGCTCCTTTCTGGTCTTCTTAGTGAACTTACTTATTTTGATGAGGTATTTCTTTGACATGAATTTTCATACTATAACCTTCCAAGGCTCCTATGAACAAGTGTCTAGTTCGTTTTACAAAACTACCATAACTATATTTCAATATTGTTTCAGCCAATTCGGTCACACTTGGCTCCAAGTGTCCTTATCACTGGAATTGTGCCTTCAGAGTCATCAATATTCAAAAGTGCATTACATCCTTTGCTACTGACTTTTCGAACAGCCAATGGTGGACAATGCATGGTCATATTTAAGAAGGGTGATGATATTCGGCAAGATCAATTGGTAATTGACAAAATTCTAGTAGAAAGATCACAAAAGGTGTAGACAATCCTTCATGTGGTTAATGTAACTGGTGTGTGGTTCCTGTAGGTTGTTCAAATGGTGTCACTTATGGATAGATTACTGAAGTTGGAAAATCTTGATCTGCACTTAACTCCATATAAGGTACTGGCAACTGGACAAGATGAGGGCATGCTGGAATTCATACCATCTCGTTCTTTGGCACAGGTATTATACTCTCTCTAAATGATGTTTTTCCAATGAGGCAAGTACAGTCACAATGAATAACATCCACTTTTTTTACGACTCCCAAGTTTAGCTTTGTTCCCCCCACACGCTTGCAAAGTTGCGTACTCTATAAATTTTCCATATGGTTGAGAGAAACACACAGGGTATTGTTTGCTTTAACCCATTGGGCCTTACGGTTTTGTCCACAAAATTTCAAGTAGTGTGAATATCTACCCAATCCAACTATAGTCCGCAGTCAATGTGGGGTTTCAAGCTTCCTTTTAGGACCGTGACACAGCCTTTGTGAACTATTAATATTCAAGGGTGATGTTTTTTTTTCTCGTCAGTGTTCATAATTGTTCTGATTTTTCTAAGGACATTTTGGATGTGTTTCTTTCCTTGTGCAGATTCTCTCTGATCATCGTAGCATTATAAGCTATCTACAGAAATTTCATCCTGATGAACATGGACCATTTGGGATTACAGCTACTTGTCTCGAAACCTTTATAAAAAGTTGTGCTGGCTACTCTGTTATCACATATATACTGGGAATTGGAGACAGGTGAACTTTTATCTGTCTATAATATTCAAATAGTTCCTATGCACATTGATTTTTTCTTTTTGGCAAAAACTTGCAGATTGGCATCTAATATTTAGCCTTGGATTTTCCTTATTTAATTTTCAATTTCTTAAGAAGATTTTTTATGGGTTGCAGACATCTTGACAATCTTCTGCTAAGAGACGACGGACGCCTTTTCCATGTTGATTTTGGTTTTATTCTTGGCCGGGATCCTAAGCCATTTCCGCCGCCAATGAAACTTTGCAAAGAAATGGTTGAAGCTATGGGTGGAGCAGAGAGGTAATTTAGTTACTCCTTTCCCATTTTCTTTCCCTTTTTGCATCTCTTGCTGATTAAGCTCTCTTACATTAAGCGTGCACAGCACATATATGTTCATGACCAAGGAAATTTAAATGATTTGCTGCGGCATCGAGGTGCATAAATGGTTTTTCCCCCCATTTTGCAGCCAATATTATACGAGGTTTAAATCCTATTGTTGCGAAGCATACAACATTCTCCGTAAATCCAGTAACCTTATTTTGAATCTTTTCCATCTAATGGCCGGTTCCAACATTCCTGACATAGCATCTGATCCTGAAAAAGGCATCCTCAAGGTGGGTTTCTTTATGTTCTAAATCTGATGATCGGTCACAGAGTGTTCTTATTTGTTTATTTATTTATTTATTATTATTTTCACCCATTTCGACGAATTCTGTTGGTGGTATAGCTCCAAGAGAAGTTCCGGCTGGACTTGGACGATGAGGCCTGCATACATTTCTTCCAGGATCTTATCAATGAGAGTGTTAGTGCGTTGTTTCCTCAAATGGTCGAGACTATTCATCGGTGGGCTCAATACTGGCGCTGATCCTCAAAAACAAACTTAGGGGATATGAGTTCTCCGGAGATTGAATTCGGAATCGGTGAAAACTTGATTCATCTTTTATCATTCTATTAGTGGTTTAGTTTATCAAAGAAAGTATATTTAATTATATCTAATTTAATGTAAAGTTCTGATTTATATCAAAATATTTGTATAATTCAAAAGTTAGAGACTTAACAACAAATAGAAGTTAAAAATTTGTGTAGAAATAAAAAAAATGTGTACATGATTGGGGGGGAACCCACGAAATAGGTTGAAAAGCAATAGATGTATTGGTGTTAGGAACCTTAGGAACTAAGGTTGAAACAGTAGAATTAAAAGCCTTAAGCATACTACCAGTTTCAGAAAGAATGAAAAAAAACAGTTATAAAAAACCTTAATAGTAACGGATTGTGGGCGAGGTGGTAAAGATTTCGAACCAGGATTCTGTTTCTCTAAGTGGTATCTCGATGGTGGTGCTGCAGCGTGAATGGAGGGAAACGGTTGTTCTTATCCGGCGGGAACGTAATGCAGTGGCGGATGTGTTGGCAGCTTTGAGTCGAGGCAATCCAGTAGGATATTGCCTATTCGATTTGCCACCTACTCAGATAGCACAGTTGGTGCACCAGGAAGCCGAATAGAGCATGCTGCAATATGAGGTCTATTTCGGGTGTGTTGGGGTAGAGAAACCTCTTAACATGAGTTTTAGTGGGAAGAAACATTGGATTTTTAAAATAAGATTAGATATTTTAATTTTGACGTTATGAATAGAATAAATTAATCATAATAGATCTATGTAGTATCTAATTCAAACTATTCAATCAATAACGAATGATTATAAAAAAACCTTAATAAAAGCCGAAAAAATAATAACTTTAATTCTACAATTAGCTCAGTAATAAACTCTTATTAAGAAGCATTAATAATAACTAATAACTTTAATAGTAAAGAACACCCGAATTCATTGAATTATGCTTTAACGATTGTTTTGATCATTAAACTTATAAAAATTATAAAATAATTATTAAATTATTATAAAATAGTTGCTAAAATATTAATAAGAGTATACATTTGATAACTTTAATGATCAATTTATATTTTTTAAAATTTAGTGATCAAAATAATTTTTGTTCAGTCACCTCTGATTCACTTTAATAAAGAAAATAAATAAGCAAGCTATGCTGGGTCTGGACGCACGCAGATTGTAAAGAACAGTGACTTGTCAATAAAGGATTGGAAGTAAAACGCGAAATTTTACGCATGGGGGTATTTTCGTTATTTTCTTGTGAAATATGGGGAAATGTATCTGGTGTGGCTGCAGCGCGCCTTTTCCTTTAAAAATAAACGAGTAAATAAGGACATTTCTGAGTTCCAATTCCATTCCACATTTAATTGGCGTTGGTCTCATATCTCGTTTCTTTCTCCGTCTCTCTTTTCTTCCATTTACTTCAATAATTGATTTCAAATTCAAAATTTCTCACATATCTCTCTGCAATTATCTCCAAAGGTATAATCATTCTAATCTGTGTTTAGATTTTGCTGTTCGATATATTGCAACCGATATATGTAAAGAGATCAATTCAACGCGCCAGTAGTTTCTCTCTGTTTTAGATGCGAGTCTTTGATCCTTGTCCTTTAAACTCGTTGCTTAAGAACGGTTCTCGCCTTGGAAATGCTTATCTCTTCATGCCTTATCTGTCGAATTTTGAGAAATCATGTTGCTTTCTGGTGAATTATTCTAGATCTGTTGTTTGCCTCTCTCTCTCTCTCTCTCATATATATATATATATATATATATATATATATATATATATATATATATATATTTCTCAATGGGAATATGGAAATGGCATTGATTCTTCGCACCTTTGCTTTTCAGATTTATTTGATTCATGAAATCTGTTTGTTGATTGGAAAATGGAATCCTTGAGTTATTATTTTTCTTTTTTTGGAAATGATATATGTAAATTTTCATGATATTAAGGGATTGGTAAGTAAGGAATAGAAATGGGGCTGTCATTCGCGAAGCTTTTTAGCCGGCTTTTTGCCAAGAAGGAGATGCGAATTTTGATGGTGGGTCTTGATGCAGCCGGTAAGACCACCATCTTGTACAAGCTCAAGCTTGGAGAAATTGTTACAACTATTCCAACAATCGGTAAGAGCACTTTCAAATCCCTTTTTTTAATATTTGGTTTTGGTGGTTATATGTAGTTCTATATTAGAACCATTATAATTGTTTTGTTGTTATTGGCTGCTTGTAATAGAGTAGCTTTAGAATTTGATATATTCAAATAAATTGTGATAATCTTTATCTTATTTTTGAATTATTAGTTAATTTAGTTTAGATGTCTATGTAACTATCTGTTTTTACCTCTTTAAATAGAGATTTCTATTGAATAAATCGAGTGGAGTCATTTCATATTGTGATTTGTTTAACTTCTTGTTTGTGATTATTGTTATCTGTGTTCATGCTTTATGTTAACTAGTCATGTTTTCTTATTCTTTATAGGATTTAACGTGGAAACTGTGGAATATAAGAACATTAGTTTCACCGTGTGGGATGTTGGTGGTCAGGATAAGGTATGAGTTTTTCCCTTTAATGTTTTCCCATTTATTTCAGCAATATTGCAAATTACTGTTTAATTTTTGATGTAGTAATGGTTAAGAAACTTTACATATTGTGACATCCAGGTAATGGCTAATCAATAATGCCCTAGTTTTTCAATATTAATCATGCAGATTCGTCCATTGTGGAGGCATTACTTCCAGAATACACAGGGTCTCATCTTTGTGGTTGACAGCAACGACAGAGACCGGGTTGTTGAGGCCAGGGATGAATTACATAGAATGTTGAATGAGGTATGCTAGTTACATTTTAAACGACCTTTGTCTCCATGGTTATTATTTATGCTTGCTTTCCTTCGCATTATAAGTGGCTTTGGATGCTATTGTTTCCGCCTTCATAAATATTAGATTTAATAGCCCTACACAAACAAAAGGGTGGCCTAGTATGGTGCTTAAGGGTCAAGGATCCTATATGCTGATCAGAGTCCACTGTTTGCCCCTAGTAGTCAAACAGTTTTCTTCTTAACTTGATTCGTTAGCTGTTTGTTTCAAGGTATTCCTAGCATAAAGGACCTGATTCCTCTTGCTACTTGAGCTATCAATTGTAAAGACCACTGAACAAGTGCTAGAGTGACTGTGGGTGTTGAAATACCTTATGAAACTACAACTTTAAAGCTAATGATTATTTTTCAATAAAATTTGTCTGTACATTCTATGTTACTGTTTTTGTTCCAGATATTTATTCATCAAAAGTAGTTTGATGTAATGACTTTTTTTACATTTACATTGTCAATGGGTATTCCAATAAGATCAATGAAGGTCGAGAGTTACTGAAAAATTGAGGGCAAACTAAGGATCATGATTTGAATCTTCTGCTTTCGGATTTATTTTGCCTAATTGTCATTGATAACTAGTTCACTAACTCATTTTCAGGATGAACTGCGAGATGCAGTAGTACTTGTATTTGCAAACAAGCAGGATCTTCCAAACGCAATGAATGCTGCTGAAATAACTGATAAGCTTGGTCTCAACTCCCTTAGAAACCGTCACTGGTAAGCTTTTTGCATCGTCATTTCCCACTTCAGTCACTAGTTTCTCATTTATTATCACGGACGCAACTTGCTCGTCTTCTCAGGTACATCCAGAGCACCTGTGCAACATCTGGTGAAGGGCTTTATGAGGGCCTGGACTGGCTTTCCAACAACATAGCTAGCAAGGTAAGAAGATAAACTAGCACAATTTAACTTTATGGATGATTTTACCGTTCTCTTATGTTCATATGCAATTTTGCAGGCCTGAAGTCATTAGGAAGGTTATTATTATTATTATCTATTTTTTTCAGTTATTATTATTATTATTATCATCGTCATTTCGACCGCAACAGTTGGATTGTTATGTGTTTATGCTTTTTCGGTTATTATTAGGTTAGGACATTGTGGTTGTATATTGTAACTAAAAACTGGTTTGGTTGGAGGTAATGCTTCTTTTCTGTAACCAAAACTTCTTTGCAATTGCTTAATTACATTTCTATGAATTGCTGGAATCCTGCAAATCTGGTTTTGCATTAGTTTTGCAAAACAATTATTTGAGTTGGAGTATACACGAATTTTAATTTGGTGTAATTATATACATGTTTAATTATTTATTTTACGTACGACTAAAACTATCATCTAGTGTCAACTAGTCATTGGTGTAGTTATTAGTTTACACCTAGCTCCGGGTTCAAACTTCGGATAACCAAATCAAGTCGAATGCCAATGCTCTTGTAGAAAATCCATCAATTCACTAACATTGAACTAAAATTGCAGAAGCCATGTGAATCTTTTCAAGTATCTACTATATGAAAATCATTGATGCGACAGACTGCAGATGAAACTGAATCAATCAAAATGATTGTGCATTCAAAAGCTTCTTACGATGCTGCTTTGCGTTTCTTCTATGTAAGTTCCATCTTTCTTTAATGTTACATATGTGCTCAACCGGGTGATCCTCATTTCTTTTGTTAGATAATCTAAGGTCCTTCGAATTCTGGGAGACAGCTTGATTGCCACCCGTAAGTCTAGCAGCTTCGGCAAGTAGATCATTTACCAGCATTTCAGTGGTCTTGGCAGTTATTCCCCTTATATAACAAGAAATGGGTGGGGGAGGGACAATGGCTGGTTGAACCAGTTGGTTCAACCTCACCTTTGATCCGATCCTTCCTTTGCCGCCACTGCATGAACAATACTCGGCCAACATTTTAGGTTTGAGAGGATAACAGATTTCCTCATCCACAAAAACAGGCTCTATTCTCCACTGACCTTAAAACTTCTTCATGAATCCCGTGTTTACTTGTTCGAATTTCATATGTTTATCATTCATCATTAGAACCAAGAGTTACGTGCTCATAACTCACGCATGGTAATTCAAAAAACGGAAAACCTTACCGAGTGATCTTCTCGGTTTTAATCCACAAGAACTCGAACCGAAATGGTCCCCGACCACCAAAGGAATTTCCACAAAACTGTTTGCTCCACCTCAACCAGCTGTCTTTGTCCTTCATCAACTAGTACCTTTCTAGATATCACTTCCTGAAGCAAAATATCAGTTTAGGAAATAAATATAAGAAAGCTCCAAAACTGCTTCAACCAATGACGCTGGGAGATATCATCGCATCAAACCGGAAGTCATGCCCGTAAATAGAAAATTCCACATCTACTATTGCCTATGAAAATGTACGGCTCTCACCTTAATGTTCTTGAAAACTCTCTTGCCATCAGGATCGGTTAAAATATCATAAACTGCATCTGGGGGCAACCCAACATCAAGTTATGTCTTAAGGCTGCATAGAGAACCTTTCGGTACACTGAACTGCCAAGAATAACATAGGCTAATTCTTTGCAAATTGATATATCCTTAGGTTATCTTTAGCTTTGCCTATATTAATGAAATATTGCTATGAAAGTTCATGTTTTCGACTCATCTAGTGTTCAAAATCGTATATGAAGTGTTCGGATAACATAGCTCTTGAGAAGGAAAACATAAAATTTCCCGGTTTACCTTAATTTCTGGAGGTTGATTGTCGCATGAAGGATTTTCTCTCCAAGCTTGCAATTGTTTCTCTAGATCGACACTCGATCCAGCAGATGAGCCCTTCTCTTCCCCAAAAGAAGGGTTCTCAGATTTTAATCCATCAGTATCTTTTGCTAATTTATCGAACTGTGACCGAGGCAAAAAAGAAGAAGAAGAAGGGAATTTCCATTCAAACTTTGATGTACAAGAAATCCATCCATCAACATGGCATTCCAATAAATGAATTTCACTTTACATCGGAGAAATGACTAACCTTAACATGGTTTTGAAGTTTGTTTGGAAGCTGAGCAAAAAGGGCAGAAAATACTTGATCAAACACCTTGAGTTTCCCATTTCTGTCACTCCTGGGAGCATCCCTGCTTCCTTCTCCCCCTTCCATATCACCTGTTAAATCTGAAACATTAAGACAACTCGTAACCCACTACCGTATCGGTACACCATTAATATCCTATCGGACCATCGAAAACTTTACACACACCATATGTATTAATGATAGCTAGAATAAGAATTCTCAAGGCATTTCATACGTTCGAAGCCGTTTATTTACAGAGAAAACGATGAGAAACTAAAGATAGAACACAAGGTTATTCATTGAAGTTCAATGTAATTTTGTTATCCTATGGAGAAAAGACTCAATTTGTCGCCATGACTCTATCTACCAAAGAAAAAGATCAAACAAAACCCATAGTTAAAACTTAAATCTCACAACAAAAACTCAAGGAAGAAATCGTGTTGTGGTGTTGTCGGAAAACCAAAACTTGTTTACTCCAGTAAGCATTATCTCTTCATTTATTTTGGATGGACTAAAAATTACAGCCACGAACAAACCCTTGACGGGATTAATCAAATTTTTAGCAGTATGTCAAGGTTTTGCAGCTAAGTTGGGAAAATTGAAGTAGAAATGGAACAGCTTGTACAGTGAAAAACTAAGACAAATAAAGCCGTATCTTATCTTAATATTGTTATATTAAATTAATAATTTCGTTATTATACCTAATTTGTAAAAAAATAAAAAAAATAAAATTCATTGATTAATCTCAATAATTAGAAGGAATGCTATGAGGGCTTAAAAAAATAGAAGGAATATTATTTTCTTTTAAGGTCTTAAATTCAAATAATTTTGTTTGTAGGTATATATAAATTGTCTTTAAAAAAATCTAGATATATATTATCTTATAATAACTCAATATTATCAAAAATTTATAAAAAATTTATAAAATATGTGAACGAAAATCACGTAGCGTATAAAATTGTGTAGTAAAAATGAAAGAAATATTAAGTCAATTTCGGTACCTTTTGAGATCATTTTTTACAAATTGATGTCATAATCCTATAAGTCATGAATCTAACATCAATTTGTACACTATATGGGTTCTGCAAGTGTCCGAAAGTTAGGGTCGAACTGTGGTGGATCCATAAACAATACAAAATAGATACACATAAATAAAAATTTAGAGTGAATATAATTAATAAAATGATTAATTAATTAAAGAAAATTTAAATTTCAAAATTAATACTTATTCACCTTACTACCTTAGACATGAGGTGGATCCACCAGTGAGGCCGGGTGCTTCGGGTACGAATTGCAAAACAATGGTGAGACGCAAGCAAGGAGATTAAGTTTTCATCATTCTCATATGCAATTTCAAATGCTGCTGGGTCAAATAACTTGGGCTTTCAGGTCTTATGCCAAAATCGGGTCGGATATATGACCCATACGGGTCTTCACTTTTTAATATTTAATTATTTCACAGATTAAGTCTAATGGGTAACCTACAACAATAGTCACCCAACTATTTTTTTTCTACTTTAGCTACAAAATAATATTTTTTCCTGCAAATTTGATCATATGCTATATTTTTTTTTCTATTTTGATCATTGATAGTTAAATTTTCAATGAAACTTAACGAAAATGGTGAATAGGGGTGCTTATCAAGTAAGTCAATCACAAGTTGGGCAATGCTTGACTCGACTCGAAAATTGTTCTACTTGTGCTTGACTTGACTAGTTGTTCGTTAAACTTGATAAAATTTTGTTTGACTTATGTTCAATAAACAAACTCGAAATTCGACTCGACTCCTTGCTAATTATAATTTTTCCTTTTTTAATATATATATAATATAATAACACTAAATAGAACTAAATATAAACATAAATTAAAAAATTGATCAAAATAGTGTACGAAGCAATTCAAAGTTTAAACTTGAAAGTAGTAATCCATAAATACACCAAACTAATATATTACAACTAAAGTAACAATCCACAAATAACCAAATTAATATATTACAACCCTTCTTGAAAAATAAAAGTTTAACAATACATAATCAAACTTAAAGTTAAAACAAATAACATCCTTAAAAAATTGTAAAAATATTAATTAACTGCTCATGAATTTATTAGGTAAAATTCAAGTTGCTCAACTCAGATAACATCTCTAATGGTGATGTCATATAGTATAATTGCAATTTTAATTTTCAAATTTTATTCATTCTATCTATTGAATCCTGATTCTGAATTTGTAGAAAAAAACAAATGAAGAAGCGGTAATAATTATGTAAATGGAGTAGTTTACCGTAGCCTAAAATGGCATTTAAGATGAATAAACAGTTTCTCCCAAACACTTAAATTTTACATTAAAATCAAAAGCTTGATGACAACTGAAACCATCTCGAGTTAATCTTACCTATATTAAAAAGACTACTCTGTACAAAGCTTTCTCCCCCACTCTGATATGTTCATGATTCAAAGGGAAACTAAAGAAAGGTCATTTACATGAAGAAAAAAACATATGCTATAAGCGACTAGTACTCTTATTGAGGCACCCCTATAGGGATGGCAAACGGGCGGGTCGGGTGCGGATACCCCCTCCTCCATCCCCATACCCACCTAATATTTTTCAATCCACCACCCGCCTACCACCCATGATGGGTAAAAATTTTCAAATCCACACCCGCCCACGCGGATACATTCTCAAATCCATCCCTACACCCACTACCCACTGGAGACGTACCCGGCTAGACCCGCCTGATAACAAACTTAAGTTATACATAAGAAACAAACATAAAACAAACACATCTATTAAGAAAAATAATAAAATAAACCAATGATTATCTGAGTTAAGTGTTAATATAGATCTTAAAGTACATAAAACATCATAATAAAAGACATAATTAAAGTCTAGAAACATAAATGACAAACACATAATGTTTTTGTTTTTTGGCACAACATTCTAAAATTTCAAGCAATACTTGT